CATTTTATATTTCATGTACTGAAGCTCTTTGGCTCTAGGGAATTCAGGTGAGAAGTTTGCAGAAGATATCATGTTGTCAAAGAGCTCATCCATCATTGCTCAGCTTCTGGTGAGGGCATAGGACATGAAAAAGACTTCCTTTCTGTTCAGAGAGCAAGAAATCACTTGATAAATCAAAGAATATTCAGAATGTTCTTTAAAACCTTTGAGTATCTGTGAATACATACTCTGTAAGAGTCTGAACTCCAGAGGAATGAGTTCTTTCTGGACAAGCAAGGGGTCCAGGATGCTTCTTTCCTTAAGTGAGTCAGCTACGGAGGTTAGCTGGGGGCAGGGCAGGTGAGAGGGTGGTCCTTCTGCAACAAAGTGACTGATGCTATTCTTGCTGGACCATAGTTTCAACTAAATGGACAGACCATTTGGTACAGGGGGGAGGGGCTTTAAAAATGGTCTGACTGGGCAGATGTTTGGTTCTATCTTGCACAGCCATTCATTCAGTTAATTAATTGAGCACCTACTCAATGCTATACAGGCGGGAACATGACAGGCAAAGTCCCTGGTCTCTCAGCACTGTGTCATGGGGGAGGCAACCAATTATATAAAACAATCTGTATAAAGTATCAACTTGATTGGGATTATCAGCCACATCATGGAGTTAGCTGTGGAGTCACTCCTGGACGTCTGGTTGTTCCTGAAGAAGACCTGAGGGCCTCCCTTCCCTCCATAAAAGCCACCACATAGCACTGACTGTGAACTGGGCATCTTCTCTGTACCTTTATGCACTAACTCATGAATCCTCAGCACAGCCATTTTACAGGGGAGGACACTGAGTCAAAGAGGGGTTAAATGATATTCCTGCTGTCTGTATGCAGCTTGGAAATGGCAGCGCCAAGATGCCACTTCAGAGCCCAAGCTCTCCCCCTCTCTACCAAATCCCTTCTGGAGGTGAGAGGCACTGACACTCCTCATCCGAGGGCCTGTCCGGGGGCCTGCAGGTCATGGTATGATGAACCAAATCACGTGGAAAGTGAGAGCTTTCTCCCAACTCCTGGCTGGGTGCATGGGCCATTCCCATGTCATCATCCAGGCGTTGGTTCTGCCATCATTGCCTGGGATCCTGGGCCTAATGGGTTTAGGGCTCCAACCAATGATGTAACGAGGCTCTTAGGATCCCTGAGGCAGTGGCCAGAACCTGGGCTGTCCCTGTCGTCCTTGTACCAAAATAGTGTCTCAGATCTAGACAAGACTTGAGAAACAGCATTGCTTCCCATTTATTGAGCATTTCTATGGACCAGGCGCCATGCTGAGTGCTGTAAATACAATAGCTATCTCATTTGACCCTCAGAACAAACCAATAGAAAAATAACAACATGGCAGTCCGTGCTGCTATTATTCTTATTTCCAAATAAGGAAGCCCCTCGGCTGGAAAAATCTGGAGAGCTTGCCTGGGCTCACACAGCTGGTCAGAGGCTTACCCGAGAGTCAGACCCAGGCAGCTCCCCAGGCTGCCACTCCACCACCGAATCCTGTCTCCTGAGCCGTCTCTGAAGGAGGGAAGAAAGTGCAATTCCCTTTCTGAATCTGAGCGTTTTTCTCAGTGCTTTCTTTTCCTCCAGAGGAAAGATTACAGCGGGGAGAAAAAAAGAAACTCAGTCGCTTCTCAGAAGGATGTTGTGTCTCTCTCTGGGCCCCGACCCCCTCCGTGCTGGTGCTGGAGACAACAAGACTTCTGTCTGAACGCTGCGGGTGTCCGTGTCTTTGGGAGCCTTCCAGCTCCCTTCCTCGTTTAGAGTTCTTTCAGCTCTGCAGAAGCAGGGCCTCTCCGGCTCTCTCCTGTTTGTTTGGCTTGTAGCAACGGGGAAGGGTGGTGGGTGGTTAGGTGGGTGGGTGGGTTGAAGATGAGTCCAAGATTTGAGAGCCCAGTGGACAGTCTGACTTCTCTGGCAAATTCTCCTGCACACCCTCCCCCCTCCCCCCCCCCAACACACACACACACACACAGCCCTTTCCTCCTCTGCAGCAAGACATCCTTAGGGAGTCTGAGCACGGATCTCGAGCCCATTGCCCCCCCTCCTCCCGGTCTTTCAGACACAGGACCACCTGCTAGGTTGGCCAGCAGCACTTCCTTGGCGGGACACTCAGCTGGGCTTACTGTTCTGCCCGAGACAGAGGTGCAGCTCGTACCCTGCACGCAGCCTGCCACCTCCCCTGGTAGGGACAGAGTGCAAATGGGAGCTGGAGCAGCCCCTGTGGGGTGGGAGCGGGGTTCCTTCCTCCTCTCCCCTGGACCCGATACCCCTCCCCCAGGCACATTGCTGAGAAGTGGCCTCTTGGAACCTGTCCCCCATCTTGGTGTCCACTCTGCCCTCCTCTCTGGAGTGAGAAGGAAACATCATGAAACGTAACCAAGATGGCCCATATGGTTTGGGATGTTGGCTCCTGAGGGACAGCCCTGGGCCTGCAGGAGCAAGTGGTCTAGCAGCTCACATGGCCAGTCGTGGGCCGGCGTATGGGTGGGGCTAGGGAGAGAGCCCTCCATAGGCTGTGTGAGATCCTGGGACGTGCCCATGCCTGAGTGGTCTTGCCCAGGAGACCTGACCAGGGCTGGGCAGCGGCTCCCCCTGGACATGGGGGGAGTGTAGGATGCTGCTGTCTGGTTCCAGCTTCTGCACGTGGGCAAATGCTGCTGCCGGTTCTGGCGTGGGTCCCTGCAGGAGGTTTGCTGTGGGAGCTGAGATTTCACGCCTGGCGGCTGGGCAGCTTCCAGTCCCAGGGCTGGAGGCTGTGCATGAAGGTTTCTTTTTCTGGCCTTCACACCCAGCGCATCATTTCCGTAGCCGGGCAGCAGATGGGTGTGGGCGAGGAAGAGCGTGAGGTGTGCAGGAAGGAGGAACGTGCACTCTAGAACAGCAGGGGGAGTGGTGACGAGCCAGCGTATCTTTTTGGGAGGGTGGGGGTGGGAGGATAGGGAAGAAAGATTCTGCTCCTCCAAATGGAGTGGGAGGTGGGAGGGCACTGGGTCAGGAAGCCCCGAAGGCAGTTTAAGAAGCCCCGAAGGCAGTTTAAGTTACCAGTCAAGATCCAGCATTGGTCTTTGACAGACTCAAGTTCAAGGCCCCGCTTCGTGGCCCGCTAGCGTTTGTGATTTTTCTGCTGAGGGCTTTCTGTGCGTAACTTGATTCAAGTCTCACAATTCTTATGATGAAGGTATCAGTTTTATTCTCGTTTGCTGAGGTTCTGACAGATGAAGTAGCTTGCTCAAGGCCACAGAGTCAGAGAAGGTAATGCTGAGTTTCAAGTCAAGGGTAGGAGGATGCTGAGGTCTCCAGATTCACCAGGGCTTTCCTGTTGGAACAGTGATTGACAGTCTTCAGACTTCCTGGCCATCTGGCCTTGGGGAAGTCCCATCCTTACTTAGTGTTCACATCTGGGAAATGGGGAGGTGAATGTTGCTCTCCTTGGTTTCTCATGGGGATTAAAGGAGAGAATGTTTATGAATCTTTTGGCTAGTGCCTGGCCTATCATGATATCATCATTTAGTCATTCAACACCTATCTATGGAGCACCTGTTATATGCCAGGTACCGTTCTAGGTGTACAGGCTAGAAAAGATCCCAGCTCTAGCAAAAAGATTATAGATCTGGATTTCTAATTGACCAGGGATAAACTTATTCTGTAAAGGAACAAATAGTAAATATTTTCATCTTTTTGTCTCTTGTTGCAACTACTCAACTCTGATGTTATGAGCTTGAGAGTGACCATAGACACTACATAAAAGAACAAGCGTGGCTCTGTACCAATTAAACTTTATTTACAAGAACAGGCGCTGGTTTTGGCCCAGGATCATAGATGGCCAACTCTTGTAGAAAATATTTATTTACATGACTTAGGTAGTTTTTTTTCTATAAAACCAATTCAAGACATTTCCCCCAAACTTTCATAAAACTAGGTGCTTCTGCCGAAACCGGTTTGGCTCAGTGGATAGAGCGTTGGTCTGTGGACTGAAGGGTCCCAGGTTTGATTCCGGTCAAGGGCATGTACATTGGTTGCGGGCATATCCCCGGTGGGGGGTGTGCAGGAGACAGCTGGTCAATGATTCTTTCTCATTGATGTTTCTAGCTATCTATCCCTCTCCCTTTCTGTCTGTGAAAAATCAATAAAAACAAACAAACACACACACACACAAAACAACTAGGTGCTTCTTACATATTAATATCTGTGCTTTTCCAATGGTTTTCAAATATTAGGGCTCCCTTGTAGGCAACTCAGGGGACAGGGGTGATGACGAGGGCGGAGGGCTTTGGGTCTCTGCTTCTGCTTTAACCCAGAACCCCTCTTGGGCCCATGATTTGATTGACAGTCTTCATAAGAGTTTGTTTGAGAAAAGGGGGTTGGAAACTAGAAAAAAAACAAAAAACCATTAATCCAGTCCAACTGGTTAGAAACTGTGTCCACCCTCCAGTATCACACATTAGTGAGCATTGACTACATAATTGGTCATAGAACAAATTAATTTTCTAACTAAAAAATTAGCAAAGAGTAGCTTTGGGGCTCTATTTGTGTGGTGGAAAAAGTGCAGGGAGCACAGACCAATGGGTCATGTGTAGGTGGAGAGTTGGGACAAAAGCCACCGTGTCCTACAGAGAGGAGTGGGGAAGGTCAGCTTCCAGAGCTCATGGAGGTGGAGACCGCAGGCTGGCCTTTGGCCATCTCAGTGAAGGGGGGTGACAGCGTGGCTTGTGGATAGTCAGACACAGTTAGGATTGAATCTCCCCTCTGTCATTCAATAGCTAGGCTAGTTATTCCGCTGGGTATCCATTTTCCCAGCTGTGACACTGGAACGATGTCCCTTCCCTTCTCAAGCTGCTGGGTGGATTAAAACCTAAGCATCGCTAGGTGTTTCAGAAATAGTTCTTTCCTTCTCCGTTTCATCCTCAGGGTGTGGGATGAGCATCTCTTTCCTATTGACTCCAATGCCCATGCCCAATCTTCTCTCCCCAGGATGTGGCCAGGTTCTGCGAGCCTCGAAGGGTCAGATTTTTTTGGAGAGCTACCCGCTAAATGCTCACTGCGAATGGACCATTCATGCCAAACCTGGGTTTAACATCCAGCTAAGGTAAGTGGCTGGGCTTATGAGGAAACACAGTAATCGGACTGAGGGCGCTGGATCCTAGTGACCTAGGGGGCTAACTAAGCATCAGCATGTTATCCTCAAAGGCAGAAAATGTATATTAGGGCCTTTTTCTTTAACCTCTCATTGATTTAGTGGGATAAGGCCTGGTCAACACTATGTCCAATTAAATGCTGGCATTCACTGCCTTATAACAGTGGGGCTCCGTTGATTTTTACCCAAAGACAACACAACAAAGCAAGATCCTGAGAGCCATCTATTCATGCCCAGATCATAACCAGTCTTCCTGTTCTCAGAGTGCCGGGCTGGGTTCCCTGGGAGGGAAGTGAAGAACTAAAGGGTGCAGGTCTAAAATTCAGGGGATTTAGACTCAAGATCAGGGCTCACACTTGACACAAATCCTTTCACTGATGTTCTCGGAAAACAGCCACCACTCCCCACCCCCTGCAACAAATGAACCAGTTCTCTCACTTGTGTGGAAGATAAGTTGTTTTTCTAATGGGCTTTGAGGTCCATGCAAATGTTTAATTTGTACCCTAGTCCACAGTAGAGACCTGGTTTTATTGTAACTGTGGAGAAGTAGCACAGAAGAGTCCTGATGGTGAGAATGTTCACGGCTGCCTGGACCAGGTCTTAGTGCCTCACAGAACGTGGTACACCTCAGGGGCTGTTGAAAGAACTGTTCTCTGCCTCCTGTGTCACCTCTCCTACTTCTCTCTAGGCACTGGAATAAGACAGATGCCCACTCTGCTCTTAAGGAGTTTGCAGTCTAGTGGAGGAGTCAGGCATGCGTGCGCACACACATACCAAGGAGATAAAAACAAGAAGAGAAAAATTTGTATATACATCATGAAGAAAATAAGGGGTCTCCTTTGGAAAGAGTCATCAGGGAGGCCTCCTAGAGGGAGGTTCCCTGAATAGCATACGGCACTCCTTCACCTGGGCATGCTCTGTGTGTGCACACACATGCGCACAGTGTATGTACACACACCTGTCCACTACAAATGTTCATCTGGCTCAAGCCCTCCAGGACCAGTTTGCTATCTGACCAGGCCAGTGGCACCCAATTTCCAGAGGCCTGTGCATCCTTTGGCCTCCAATCACCCAGGGGTCTCAGGCCTACCTTCTTCACCCACAGATTTGTCATGCTCAGCCTGGAGTTTGACTACATGTGCCAGTACGACTACGTGGAGGTCCGTGACGGGGACAACAGCGATGGCCAGATCATCAAGCGTTTCTGTGGCAACGAGCGGCCAGCTCCCATCAGGAGCATGGGCTCCTCGCTTCACATCCTCTTCCACTCAGATGGCTCCAAGAATTTCGATGGCTTCCATGCCATTTTTGAAGAGATCACAGGTAAGGGCCACAGAGACATATGCAGCGCTTTGCACACAAACACCTGCTTTCTATGTACTGCTCCCCTCCCTGCTCAGCCTTATTCCGACCTGGCATGCTGGGGTCTCAGAAGAGCCCCAACATTGAGCAGGAGGAGAGGAATGGTGAGGTATATTTCAGAAATGTTCACGGGAATGAAAACTAGGGATGGTTACCTCCTGGAGCACAGAGAGGCAGGGTAATTTGTCCAAGGTCACACAGCTATGGGGGTGGAACCGGAGATTTATACACAAGCAGTTTGGCTCTAGAGCTTCCACTGGGGGGCCTGCCATGGTTACGAACATTAGCTTTGGATCTCTGGCAGGTGAAGCCAGGTGACCTTGGGCAAGTTCTTTTACTTCTGGGGCTACAGTTTCCCAAGCAGTGACTAAGTTAATAACGGTAGATCCTGCTCCGTTAAGGAGGCTCTAGGAGACAGAAAGATGGAGGGCTGAGCAGGGAGTCTGGTCCATAGGAAGCACTCCACAGCTGCCCTACACCAGGAGTGCTCTGAGCCCCACTTTGTCCTCTGTAAAGTAGGTAAATGCCACTTGCTTTATGTGTAACTAACTTTAAGCCTGACTTTGCCTGCTGCTGCCTTGTCCGGGTTAGGAAGATGGATTTAGCAAAAGGGAACAAAGTGCTCCATCTTAAGGGATCAGCCCAGCTCTCATCATCTGGGGTTGGAGTGCATTCCAAGAAGTTCTGCAGAAGGGAAGTCCAGTTAATGCCCTTTAATACTAGTCCTGTTTCCCCACCATATGTGAGCCCAGAACTCTCACCATCTCAAGGGACTACTGTTCGAAGAATGTGTCTTTGGGAATTCTTGAGTACATGTTCAACAGTGTCCCGAAGATCACCTTCCACTTCCTTTCCCCAAGAATCCAGGATGCTGGGGTTCCTTGAAAAAGATGCTCTAAAGCTATCCAATGATGCCCAGCTGGCGTGGCTCTGTGGTTAAGCTGTGACCTATGAACCAGGGGGTCATGGTTCTATGCTGGTCAAGGGCACATGCTTAGATTGCAGGCTAGATCCCCACCCAATAGGGGGAGTGCAGGAGGCAGCTGATCAATGACTATCTCTCTCATCATTGATATTTCCCTTCTCTCTCTCCCTCTCCTTTCCTCTCTGAAATCAATTTTTTTTAAAATAAAGCTACCCAAGGCTGCTCTGACTCTGGAGTCCCTCTGCGGGGTGAAAGGCGCTTCTGCTTTTGTCATGGGTGTGCTGTTTGCAGGACCCCAGGCTTGAAGAAATGGACACGCCACACAGTGGCACTGAAACTGCCTTTTCTCTTGCAGCATGTTCCTCGTCCCCTTGTTTCCATGACAGCACGTGCCTCGTTGACCAAATGGGATCTTACAGGTGTGCCTGCCTGGCAGGCTACACCGGGCGGCGCTGTGAAAACCGTGAGTGTGCCTCGGGAGTGGTAGCTGACGTGTCCCGGGGGGGGGGGGGGGGCTGACGTGGAGAGGACCTAGGGAGCTTGCGACATACGCTGTTTCTTGGTGTCTGGGTTGGTCTGTTCAGGGTGGCACATAATGTGGATAGAACCCCAGCTCCAGTGTTCACGGGCCATGAGAAATGGATGTAAGTCACATCTCAGAGTGAGTCCTGGCTTTCAAGCAAGGGAGCCATGCCTGCCCATCCCCACTGCAATCAGGGATCGGCTAAGGGCTGGCCTGGGCAGGCAGGAGAACATAACTCGCTTCCTATGCATGCAGGCCAGGTGGTCCCACTCGCCTCTGAGCATCAAAGAGATGGCAGGTGCAGGCCACGGAGGAGAAACAAGATAGCTTGGGGGTGGGAGTGGGTGGGAAGGGGCCCACAGAGAGAGTGAGAAGGCCTCTGAGGGCAGAGCAACCACAGTGTCTGCATCAGTCCCTCCTCACTGGCATGCACAGGTATTTTGGGACATCCTACAAAAGGACATCCTGTTCTGATTGTATCCTATAAAGTTCATACATTTTCTCTATCACATTTATCCCCCCCCCATACTCTCTCCCTTCTCCCTCCTTTCTCTTCTTCCCCCTCTTCTCCTCCCCAATCACCTCATTGTCCTTAATATGTAGGAGTTCTTTTTCCCTTTGTTGCTCAATCCCTCCCTATCCCCTACCCACCCCCTTCACACACACACACACACACACACACACACACACACACACACACACACACCAGCACCATCAGCCTGCTCTCTATAAGTCTGTCTCTGTTTTGCTCATTGGTTCAGTTTGTTCATTAGGTTCTGCATATGATTGAAATCATATGGTGCTTGTCTTTCTCTGACTGGCTTATTTCATTTAGCATAATGTTCTCCAGGTCCACACATGCTGTCACAAAGGGTACAATTTTCTATAAAGTTCATACATTTTTTTAATTGAGTTCACAAATTTTCCTTGCAAACCAGGCATACGGAAGCCATGGGTGGTTTCAGTAGTGTGTTCTTGAGTGTGCCATTGTGTTCCGAGAAGAACAGCCCTTGCTTTGGGTTGGCCTAGCGGAGCTGAGAGTGGCTATGCCAGATGCTTAGCAAATGGCATTCCCCTTCGTGGTTCCTGCCTCGTCTCAGCCTGCTGTGCTGTGGGTAAGGCAGAGGAGAGAAACGTTGCTTTCTCTGTGCTTCAAGACTTGCTTTATCAAGTGGTTCTGGAGTCTTGGCAATGGCAAATTCTGAGAGTCAAGGCAGAGAACAAAAAAAAGAGAAGGCTCAATTTCTCGATAAAGTAACTGCACATTATCTATAAACAAAAGGTAAGATTGGATAAAGAAAAGCAAAGTACACTAAATATGCTAAAATGTCTTTAAGAGCCAGGTCTCTTATTAGGGAGGGGGGAAAATTGGTCCTAAGGTTGTGAGTAAAATATTCATGCTCAGTTTATGAGCCAGAAATGGACTTCCCAGCATTGTTATTCTTTCCTGGGGGAAAAAGAAAACACCAAAACAAACATAATGAAAAGCAATATAAAATGTGTCATTATGAACTGATTCATAACTCGATTCACAAACTGTCTCAATTCAAAACACCAGCATCGATGGACAAGAGAGTGCTTCCTGGCCACTCTTCAAATGTTCTTCCCAACCCATGATTCCTGTGGTCCCCAGGAGTTGTAACTGGGCGAAGGTATCGGTGGTGGATAGCTGATTTGTCATTTGCTGGCATCAATGTGGGGACCAAATATCTGATTATTTACTGTATGATTATTCAGGTTTTTTTTGTTTCCCTTCTGGAAAATTCAGCATGAGTTCCAACTAACTCAACGAGGGAAACATCATGAAAATTGTCAGTACTTTACCTAGTCATTTCAGAACAAACCTTAACCATTCTTTTCCACAGCAGTCTAACATCTAAAAAAAAGGGGGGGGGGAGGAGGAGTCTTTATTGCTTTTCTCATGAGTATATCATTGAACTAAAACTATCTCCCTGAAGGAAGTGCTTTGAAGTTTAACAAGAAACCCAAACATTCCAGGATTCCAGAAATGTATTTTTTAAAATAGCTTTAAAAAAAATTGAAGCAAATGTTAGTGAGACATCCGTCTTGTATTTACGGAGTACCAACCCTGCAGCGCTGCTGCCTCAATGCTCTGTCCTCCCGAGGTCCTGGGAAAGCGTTAGCTGCTCCTTGGAGCAGGAGAGGGGCTGGCACAGAGGATGCAAGGATGCTGGCCCATCCAATCAAAAGTGGAGGAGAGGATCTCACACTCCCCACATCCCTCGCAAGCTCTCAGACACCGTCTCACCATGGGGCTTGGTGAGACTTTATGCAACCAGTGGATGTGTGTGGTTATCATGTCTCATCATCAAGTCCTCCCAATGGACCTGCCTTCCCAGGCGAGGCCCACCTGTCGCTATTTTCCAAAGAGAATCCTGACGTATGTGCGTGCTTGCTAGTGGGAATGGATTAGCAGTCCGTTTTCTAGTTCATTGTAGAAGACATATGTATATACTTGTGACAACAATCGCACAGTAGAGAGATGTGGAAAATAGAAAGAGAACATTGCTTTTTCTGACCAAGCCTGGCTCCCAGCAGTTAACAAGATGAGTATCCTTCCAGACTTCCTTCTAGGGTGTGCAAGCCAAAGTTGTCTTTATATCACCATTTTAAACCTTTGATTCTCAACTGGGGTGGGGGCGGATTTTGCTCCCCACTCTCACCCCAGGGGACCTTCGGTGACATCCAGAAACATTGGTTTGTCATCATTTCAGGGGCTGGATGCTACTGGCATCTTGTGAGTAGAGACCATGGGTGCTGTAAAACATCCCACAATGCACAGGGCAAGCCCCTCCCGCCCCCTGGAAAGAGTTGTCTTATCCAAATGTCAGTCATGCCAAGATTGAGGACCCCTGTTTTAAACAAAAGTGCATGAAAGCACACATACAATTTTCAACTTGTTTTCAGTGCCCGCCTCTTAGATATGTTTTTCAGGTCAGTCCATGTTAGTCCAAATGTCTGATTATTTTCTATAAGGTTTAGGGGTTTGGTTTTCCTCCTGGGAAATTCAGCACGAGCTCCAACTAAGTCAATGAAGGAAACATCATGAAAATTATCTGTGGCACTTTACCTTGTAATTTCGAAACAAGCCTTAACCATTTTTTTTTTTCACTCATTTGAAACAATAATAGCTGCGCATTCCAGTGTGTGGATGTAGACACAGTCATCTAGTCATTCAGTCCTTAAGATGCACCTGTTACTGTGTTTGTTTTTTTACTATTGTGAAGAGAGCAGCAATGACTGCCCTCATCGATCTCTCTTGGTTCACATGTGGAGGTACTTTTGTAAGATAAATTGAGCTGTTCAGCTGTTGAGCTGTTGGTTCCAGAGGTGTGGAGAGTCACACTTTTGAGAAGTGTCCCCAAAGTGATCACTGAAAAGTTTTACCAATTTTCAAAATGAGCTGCTATAAACAGCAGTCCTGAAATAAGAATTAGCTGTTGCATTTCAGAAACTGGGGTCAAGCTGGAAATAGATTGACTTTCAAAGGAATTCGTGGGTCTGAAAGGAGTTTCTCCCTGGGACTTCCTGGGGCAGTAGATAAAGAATAAGAAACAATCGCCCACTCGGTGTGGCTCAGTGGTTGAGCATCAACCTATGAACCAAGAGGTCATGGTTTGATTCCCAGGCAGTACATATGGCCGGGTTGCAGGCTCCATCCCTAGTAAGGGAGCTTGCAGGAGGCAGCTGATCAATGTATCTCTCTCATCGTAGTTTCCATCTTTTCTATCCCTCTCCCTTCCTCTTTCTCTCTCAAATCAATAAAAACTTATTTGTATAAGAAGAGAATAAGAAACAATTGGTGTTTAGTTGGTAAGGGGATGTGAGAGCTGCAAATACAATATTGAAGTGCGTCTATGTTCAGACTTCCCGTTAATTAGTTCCCAAGGAAGAACAGCTTCCCCCTGCTCCCAGGTGACCTCTCTGAGAGCAATCAAAAGGGGCGAGTGGCTCCCCCTTCAGCCCTGGGGCCAAGCCAGCCCCCTGCCAGCACCCTCCACGACCCCAATCTCCTTGGGCCACCATGTAAGAAACTGAGGCCCCTTTTTTCCTCTGAAGTTTCCTGTCTCTTTGTGTGGAGCACAAGGACAAAATAAGTTCTTCAGTGAAGGGTCGGAATCCTGTTTTGAGAAAGTGGAGAGCGGCGGATTCATGGCCTGCTCCAGTTTCCATGTCGCCTTTGTTCCCCTGGCCCAGTTGAAGAGGTGGGGTGTCCCCCCTGCATCCCAATGAGGCGCGCTGGACCCGGCTGACTCCCGGGCACAAAGCTCACCCTGCGGGCTCCGCTGTGCCTTGGAACACAGCACAATGGCCTCCACCAATTAGAGGAAGACGGGCATCTGGATGCTTTGGAGCGCCAGGAGGTTTCCCACTAGCCTGTCCCCAGGGCTGGGAGAAAAGCGCCCAGGAGGAGAGCACACTGGCTGTTTCTCTTCAAAGAGGCGGCCGGCCTGTGCTTCTCATCAGAAGAAGCAGTCTGATGGTTTTCATGGAAATGTGAACGCTGACCCCCAGTGAGTCCCCATCTCTCTCCCATCACAGAGAAGTGAGAGGCTATAGGACCACTCCACGGAGAGGTCATAAAATCAGCTTCCTGGCTTTTTGGGCCAGAGCCCTGTCTTATCCTCAATACCTGGAACACGGGAGCACCTTTGCCCATCGTGACATGGAGCACTCAGGGGACGAGCTTGGACTAGAGGACAGAGAGACCTCAGCATGGCTCTGAGCCTCCAGTTTGTCAGTCAGGTGACCATGAACAAGTCATGGAACTCACAAGAGCCTTGGTTTATAATTTTCAGAGAAATAATACCAAGTACTTCTCAGAATGGTGTTGGGGATGGAATGACATAAGACACTGAGCTGATAAAAGAGTAGCCAGTATTGTTTTTACTACCCTGGTCCCCTATTATGGCCATTGG